ATTTGCAGAAGCAAATGCCATCTTTGTCTTATTTGTTCTGACTTGCCACTCTGGTTAGAGCCTACAATAATAGGACATGTGGAAGTGAAGCATTTCTCTATGGTGTTCCATATGTTGGCGTCTGGGAAAACTGAATCCAACAGTCCAGGAAATGACAGTGAATTCCTCTCTGAAATGTAGAAAACAGGAATTCACATTTCAAGTCTCCTATGTGCACTGCCTTCTCCCTAATGCTTATCTCTTCCACCTCCTATAGCACGGGCTTCTTCTCCCCAGTGAGTGAAAGCATTTAAGAAAATACTCAAATTTGACAGCTGAAGATTCAGAATGAATTTGTTTAGTTTTTCACATGAACCCATCTCCAAAACAAGATCCCCTTTCTAAGTACAATTAACCTCTTTCTCTGTTGCATCCTTCATAGAGCTTTATCTCAGACTTCCTAAGGAAATATTTAAATTTGTGATTTTTGCCTAGGTATTTTGTTTTGCCTAGATATGAATAAATAAACACAGTATCAACTCTAAGTTCTTGGATTTGTGGCTCTGAGAGCTGTATGGTTCAGTAGAAAAGCTCCTGCGCTGGAGATCAGTCCTGGGTTCTAATTCTAGCACCAGCAGTTACTAGCTTCCACTTAATTAGCTGCTCTGAACTGCCTTTCCTTGCCTATGAGAGGATAATAGTATCTTCTCACAGTGTTGCTGCAAGGATTGCATGAGACATTGCATGTAAATATAATCTGTGTCTCTCAGTGCTAGATGAATTCTTCCTGGAGCATTTGAGTGCAGTGGCATTCACTAGGAAACTCGGGTAAGAGAGCTACAAGCCCATAAAACAATTAATTCAAATGATGGCCCCAGTACTGAGTTCCTCTTCAAACTTAAGATAAACAATCTCTCATCTTCATTGGAAAGAGACAGAGGCAGGGGGGGCGGGTGTTGTGTAGTTATTTTATATTTTTCCACTGGGCAAAAGGTAGTTAATCCTCTGAAAAGAACTGGAGGTTGGTAAATTTTGGTGTTTTTATTCCTGGCTCATTATTTTTAAAAAGTAGGACATGAGTTCTCAGCCATGTGATCTTCCCACTTCCAGATTTTTTTTTTTAAAGATTTTATTTATCTATCCACGAGAGACACAGAGAGAGAGAGAGAGGCAGAGACACAGGCAGAGGGAGAAGCAGGCTCCATACAGGGAGGCTGACATAGGACTCGATCCCAGGTCTCCAGGATCACACCCTGGTCCAAAGACGGTGCTAAACTGCCAAGCCACCCGGGCTGCCCCCACTTCCAGATTTTTTATTGGAGAGAGTACTTACTGAGTGCCTATCACTGTGCACTTCTTTGTTCTTTATAGCAACCTGGCAATGTGCAGAAATCATTAGCCACATTTTATGGATGAAGACACCGAGACATAGAGAGGTAGAGGCTTAGACTGGGTCATATAGCTAGTAAGTAATAAAGCCAGAATTTAACTGAGTCTAATACCAGCCCCAGGAGATGTCGGCTTTGGCAGCAAGCCTCACTTAGCTACAGAGACAGGAAAAAGCTACAGTTCCCTTAAGACCTGCTTGTATGGTCTTTCTATTAGGGCATTAGAAGCTCAGAAGAAAGAGATCTCTGAGTGCTGGAGAAATCGGGGTTGGCTGCTTATAGATCTGCATTATGACTTTCATGGGCCCCCCCCCCAAAAAAAAACCCAACCAAAATATTATGCTTTATGACTGTGTTGGTATAGAGATTAATATAACACAGGCCAGCTTCATTATTATATATGCATTATTATTATTATTATTTATTATTATTATATCCATTGTGTTCTTGTGATCCTAAGAGAAATCAAATGGAAATGTTTTTGTGGGTCCAGTGCCCATGGTGCCTGATGGACAGGTAGCCTTGCCTGTGATATGCACAGACATTCCACTGCACACTGGAGAATGGGCAGAAAGAGTGTCTAATTGATTGGCTAACAAGGGTTCTAATTGACTGAGTGAGCAAATGGGTTTGTGGATGACAATTCCTGAAGGACGGGATCCTAGCTACCCGAAGTGAAGGGTATTTGTAGGGAATGGAGGGCAATATGGGGGACCTCGGAAGCCCTGCTTGAGGCATCTGGACAGGTGGAGTCAAGAAGAAGGGAAACAGGGCAGCCCGGGTGGCTCAGCGGTTTAGCGCTGCCTTCAGCCCAGAGCCTGATCCTGGAGACCTGGGATCAAGTCCCACGTTGGGCTCCCTGCATGGAGCCTGCTTCTCCCTCTGCCTGTGTCTCAGTCTCTCTCTGTCTCTCTCTGTTCTCCCTCTGCCTGTGTCTCTGTCTCTCTCTGTCTCTCATGAATAAATAAATAAAATCTTTAAAAAAAAAAAAAAAAGGAAGGGAAACAGAATTTGGTCCCCAAAGCCAGTAGAAGAAGGATCAGTACCCTCCATAATAAAGCTTTCACCATTCATGGCAAAATGAGAAAAATAAGAACAAAGTAGTCAGTTTTTTATAAGGCTAAATTTATTCAATTTAAAGAGCCATCCTCTTTACATAGTAGGCTCTTCATGTTTTGGGTTTACACATTTCATTACTTTATACTGAAGTGAAGGCAGTGGCCTTTGTAAATGTCTTTACTTGGCAAACTAAAAATTGACAACCCTAAATTGGCCCCCCAAATAATTTTGATTTTGAAATGATTAAAAATCATTTTGAATTTTTAATTGGTCCACACAACCCAAAGGGGTGGAAATCAACTTGCCATGTGGAAGACAGCCCAAGTGTTCAATGGCCTTGCACTCCACCAGCCCCATGGCTTAAATTCAGTAGCCCCTGTCCCCTCCTCCTGGGACATGGATCTCCTCAGCTCCTTGGCATCCCCTTGTCCCTTTGTCCCTGAGCTGAGCGGCCCCCACATCTGGCAGTCCAGCCACAGAGACAGCTGTTCCCTGGCTGGCTGCCCTCTACGCTCCCCCACGGATCACCCTCTCCCCCTGGCTGCTCCTTTTCCCCTCCCCTCACGGTTCTGGGTGGGAATCGGGGCTTCCACCTCTACAGTAGGGTGGACAGTAATAGCAATCAGTTTGAAAGGTAAGTCTGATTGTCTGGCCTACTAGAACTTGTTTACGCCTCACTCATGTCTCTCACTCCCTTTGGGCCAGGAGCTCATGGAGGACCGCCTGAACTATGGGTGTATATGCAGGTGGCACTTGTGGGTCCTTTAGAGTAACCTGGCCAAGCACCAGGGCAGGCAGGGGAAGCAGAGGGCCACTGCTGCCTGGGCTGAGAGGAGCAAATGTGCGGCCACCTCATGGGCCTCCTGGCACTGATGTGCTGACAGAGTGCAGTAAGGAGCTTCTGTAGACACAGCCACCCAGGCAGAAGCTCTTTCTGTGAGTTAAAGGGACCAAAAACCTAAGGCTGTGGCAGAGAAGAGGACAGAGAAGAGGGGCCACTGTCGGGGGTGCTTCAGAGGGTATCCTGGATGCAGTCTTGTCTGTGCTGCCCGGCAACTGGTGGCTGGGGGGTGGAGGGCTGAGGAGCATGAAGGATGCCTTCAAGGAATAAATGGATTCACGGCCCCTGCTCTTTAACAGCTACATCACTGCTACAGTCCAGGCCGTTTAAGTGTGGCCTTCTGGCGCTAATCAGTTCCTGCAGTAACTTCACAATTTTCCATTATCCTGTTGATTTTTGTGATCCTTTGTAAACCCAGGCAAATCACTTAGCTCCAATTACAAAGAGTTTTATAAATACCCTATTTCAGTTGCAGGCATTATGAATGTATCTGTTGATGACATATGAGTAAAGAAGCTTTAACGTTTTATTCTGTTTCTCAGTAAAATTATTGATGTAGACTCATGATTTCCAATATATTGTCATTGAGAAGTTTATATTATCTCACAATCTCCCCTGAGATCACACCACAGCATGAGGGCAACTCCACTAGTTCATTAATCATTATATTGTCCTTGTACTAAGCATGCAAGTGTTGTAAATCCCTAGATAGGAGATGATCCAGTGATACAATCATGGCTCATCAGACCTGGGAATAAAAGTCCTAAGATTTGGAACACCTGGGTGGCTCAGTGGTTGAGCGTCTGCCTTCTGCTCAGGGCGTGATGCCGGGGTCCTGGGGTCAAGTCCCGTATGGGGCTCCCTACAGGGAGCCTGCTTCTCCCTCTGCCTGTGTCTCTGCCTCTCTCTGTGTCTCATGAATAAATAAATAAAATATTAAAAAACAAAAAGTCCTAAGATTTGATCTTTCTTATTCTTCATTCTCAATAGTATAGTATAACTGAATAGAGTAAATAATTAACCACACATCGTTACATCACAACTGCTGGGTTCCACTAACAAGCAGTTAGACATATCTGAGTTTAAATCCCAGCCCTGGGGCTCCTGGATGGCTCAGCTGGTTAAGATTCTCTCTCTTCCTCTCCCTCTGCCCCTCCTTGCACTCACTTGCACACTCACTCTCTATCTCTCATAAATAAATAAATAAATACATACATACATACATACATACATACAAATAAATAAATCTTAGCTCTGTGCCCCAGTTACTACTCAAGAACCTGGGCAACTGCCAAGCTTCTCTGACTGAACCAGAAAACATGAAGCAATGAATACCTGCCAACCTGGGTTGAGGTGAGAAAGTCAAATAGCATGTCTGAGTGCCTTATGTATGCTAGCTCTGTTCAGTTTTTAAAGAAAGACCTTTGTGGACTGCTCCTGCTTTACATGGTATGAAGACCAGAGATTATCCTTGACTTTTCCAGCCAGGTGTCTCCTTCCTTCTCCAGCGTGCGGGTAGGGGTTTTGTTACCGTGTACCTGTTCCCCTCTCTCTGCTGGCGGTTTTGCTCTTGCCCCATACTTTGCATTACTAAACTGGTCACATTAGCTAGCCTGGTTAGTAGCAAACACAGGCCTCTGTTTACTAGAGAAATAAATTCTGTAAGTCCTTTACATCCATCCTAAAAAATAAATAAGACAGATTCCTGTATGTGTTCTATTTGTTTTCTGTAGATCGTGGCTCCTCGAGGAAGAACAGAAAAGAGGAAAATTATATTTTTGAGTCCAAGAGCGATCGAGGAGGAGGGGAACACCCAGCCCCAGAAACAGGTAAAATGTGTAACTTGGAAATTCATTGCAGAGTATAAACATTTGCAGAACCACATTCTCTCTAGTTGAAGTTACTGATGCAGCTGCAGGAGCACATGACAAGATCTGTGGGTCAGAAGAACTGTTGTATTCTCACCTCCGCTATCATGCTGCATCTTTGGGCTCTTAAACCAGTACCCTCACATCTTTGGACCTTAGCTTTCTCTTTTATAAGTTGATTGGACTAGATTATCACTATATTCCCTCCCAGGTGTAACATCCTATGGGAAGAGTAATACTCATGGCACAGGGGTTAAGAACATAGGCTCTAGAATCTGATGCAAACCCTTGCTCCACCACTAAACTCCATGACCTGAGGCAGAATATATTATCTCTCTGGATCCCAGTCTCCTCATTAGTAAGATGGAAATAACAACTATCACTGCCTCAGAGTTGTTAGAGAGGATAAATGGGACAATGAATATAAGCTATTGAGCACACTGTATGGCTCATACAATGAACCAAATAAATAATGGCTTATTATGCTTGAGATAGTTATGATTCAATAGTAAAAATCTTAGAGTACCTAGTTCTCTCTAGCTACTCTAGTGATGAAGACCAAGACAATAAGAACGAGGAAAGAGTGTTGGAGGTCGAGGGAATATATAATGAGTGCAAGAATACCATAATTCCATAATTTTGGTGGTTTTTAACTAGAAAGAAAACACTTTCAACATAGTTTTGTAGAAAGGTAGGTTTTAGTCCTAAATCCCACAAACTAATTAGTAAAGGAAGATTTAGGAGGACAAAATATGATTCTTAAATTATAGATCTGAACATGGAGAAGACTTTCTTTTTACTCTAGAGTGTTCTTTTTATAATCTGGCAATGTTGAAATGTAACTGTTAACCAATAGATGGCCAGAACCACCCAGACGTCAAGTACCTAGATGCTGCTGTTTCTGCTGGCTCCTGGACTTACCCCGTCCCCAGATATTTGAATAAAAATGGCCCTGTCCCCCATGGACACGTAAAAGGAAACAAGGCCTGCTCTGCCCCCGTGCCTGGTTATATGCAGAGAGCCTCGTTCTAACTGCCCACTGCTCGTTCCAGTTGTTATGTATTACGAATATTACTCCCACTCATGCGAACAAAATATCCAATTCATCTCCTTCGCTGGTTCCTGAGAAAATTATATCATGATGTGTTTTATAAGGGGTTAGAAAATTTTAAATCTCAAGTTACCAAAGCTAAAGACAATGAAGAAACCATGCCAAACGAGTATAGAAAAATCTAGAATAATTTGCAGTATTCTAGCAAGCTTATTATGTGAGATTTCATTTTCCTTGCATTCAAATCGTTAAACAGGAATCCATTTGACAGTATAGCCACATCCTATTTGACTATCTGACTTGACAAAGAAGATTCCCCAAGATTATATGTCTGCTTTGTTGTTACTAGAGCTGCATCTGCACCCCAGACTTGGAATTGGGATCTTCAGCATAGCCCCCTGCTCCCTCCACCTCATCCCCACCCCTGAGGCGTAAGCACTGGTGCCCATCTTTACACAGATCACACTCACTTAGAAGGGCAGCCTTTAGTCCTTTCCCTGCTCTGAACGAGCAGAGTGATCTTCCTCAGCTTCTCATCCCCAAAGGGGTGTCTCCCCCTGACCTTGATATAGCCCCTAATCTCCTCAGGTACATTTCCCCATCATTTAGGAAGTCTCCTGTTTCTAATCCATGTCTCTACTGGCTCATTCCCCCAACAGCAGCAGACAATTTAGATCTCTCCCAACACATAAAACCAAAATAGCATCCCTCAATGTTCAGGCTCCCTGTAAGTGAATTTCTGATTGCTAAGTCCATTGGCCTCTCTGGGCTTCACCCCACTTGACCTCATCTTAGCATTTGGTTCAGTCAAGGGCTTCCTTGAAGTCTCTTTCCTGTGCTTCCAAGACTCCCTTCCTCCCTTGGCTGTCCTGCAACTCTTTGGATCCATCTCTTTCTGTTCTACTAGTTGTCTTTTGTCTGCCTTCTTACATATTGGTGTTTCCTGGGGCCTCACTCCTGACCTTCCTTCTTCTCCCTTTCTCTCTGGCAATTTCATCACTTGGTGGCTGCAGCCACTACCTTGAAGCTAAAGACTCTCATATATATATATAGGCCCAAATAATCCAGAAATCTATGGAGTGCCTGGGTGGCTCAGTCAGTTAAGCATCTGACTCTTGGTGTCGGCTCAGGTCATGATCTCAGGGTTGTGATATCAGGCTCGGCACTCAGCGAGGAGTCTGCTTGAGATTCTCTCTCTCTCCCTCTCCACCTCCTACAATGGGTATGTGTGCTCTTTCTCCTTCTCTCTCTCAAATAAATAAGTAAATCTTAAAAAAAAAAATCCAGAAACCTAAAGAAAATTATACCTGGATCAAGTATAGGCATCTCAATCTGAAAATGTCAGAACATAAACTAATCTCCCCACCCACCCCAAATGAGCTCCATCATACATTTAAACCACTTGAACAAAAATCCTATGAACTGGACATATGAACCATTCCTTTTCTATCTGCACTTCATATATCATAGTAACTATCATAGTAACTGTAATAGTTAATTGCATTTTTTTATTTAAATGTTTGTCTACCCAGACCTGAAGTCGTTAAAAGTAAAATCTCCTTTCTCTTTTGGAGAAGTACTGTATAGTGGTGGTTCTGGGGCTGTACTGCCTGGGGGCTTGTCCTAGCTCCACCACTGACATTACAAACTTAGACAAATAACTTAATTCTTGATGTCTTACTTCCTTCATTTGCAAAATGGGTATAATAATAGTAGCAACTCATATGGTAGTTGTGAGAATTAAAGGATTTACACCATAAAGCACTTAGAAGAGTGGCAGGAACCTAGGCGTCCAACTCTTGATTTCAGCTCAGGTCATAATCTCAGGGTTGTGAGATGGGGCCCTGTGTCTGGCTCTGCATTGAACGTGGAGACTTCTTAAGACTCTCTCTTCCTCTGCCCCATCCCCGCCCCACCGGCATCTCTCTCTCTCTCAAATCAATCCATCCATCCATCCATCAATCAATCAATCATTTTTTGAAGTCATTCTTGGGACATGTGGGTGACTCAGTTTGTTAAGTGTCTGCCTTCAGCTCAGTTCATAATCTCAGGGTCCTGGGATCAAGTCCCATATCGGGCTCCCTGCTCACTGGGGAGTCTGCATCTCCTCTCTCTCTGTCCCTCCTCCCTGCTTATGTTCTCTCTCTGTCTCAAATAAATTTATTTTTTTAAAGATTTATTTATTTATTTATGATAGAGAGAGAGAGAGAGAGAGAGAGAGAGGCAGAGACACAGGAGGAGGGAGAAGCAGGCTCCATGCCGGGAGCCCGACATGGGACTCGATCCCGGGACCCAGGATCACGCCCTGCGCCAAAGGCAGGTGCTAAACCACTGAGCCACCCAAGGATCCCCTCTCTCTCAAATAAATTTTAAAAATCTTATTAAACAGGGGATCCCTGGGTGGCTCAGTTTAGAGCCTGCCTTCGGCCCAGGGCATGATCCTGGAGACCTGGGATTGAGTCCCACATCGGGCTCCCTGCATGGAGCCTGCTTCTCCCTCTGCCTGTGTCTCGGCCTCTGTGTGTGTGTCTCTCATGAATAAATAAATAAAATCTTTAAAAGAAATCTTATTAAACATTGTTATTCTTGTTTTTTTTTAAAGATTTTATTTATTTATTCATGAGAGACATAGAGAGGCAGAGACACAGGCAGAGGGAGAAGCAGGCTCCCTGTGGGGAGTCCGATAGGGGACTTGAACCCAGGACCCCAGGACCATGACTCAAGCCAAAAACAGACGCTCAACCACTGAGCCACCCAGGTGCCCCCAAAATTGCTATTCTTAAATAAATAAAGTCATTCTTTAAACAACCAAAGCACCTGGAGCAGTGCCGGCACTCTGTAGCATTGGCTTACTGTCCTTGGTTACCAGCACTTAGCTCAGTGCCAGGCACAGGGCTCTTACTGAATGCTGGATGAGTGAAGAAAGGAGTGAGATGAAAGGTCATAGAATCAGCTGATGCGATGGGCATTTTTGCTCCTCTAATTCCACGAGTTGGCAAGACCCCTGCAGCTAAAAATAGCTCCACCCTATCGTCTCCCAGGCTTGGGACGCCAGAGTACATCAGACTAAGAATAGAGCCTGCTGAGCTTGATAAGGAAGACCGATCCGGGGCACAGCCCTGTCCCCACCAGACTCCTGCTGGCCTCTCACCACCGCTTCTTACTTCTCGCCTGGGTGTCTAGGACCCACCCCCCAGGAGAAACCCCGTGAGGGAGGACTTGAGAGATTCTTCAAGTACCCTTAGCCAGAATTAACACCAGCATATTTTGAAGTTAGCTCTCAATAGTGGTTCTTACTGGCTGAGAGTAGGATCTCTGGATTAAGAAAGAAAATAAATTTCTTGAAGCCCTAACCAGTACAAGAAATTAGGAGTTAGTCCATAATATTTTGAGAGACTGATCATGTGTGGATCCGCAAATTTAATCTCTGACTATGATGAAAAACTCCCCTCTGGCCACCGTGTCCTCACAGCTGTCTATTCACAGACTGGGTGTGCGGGCGAGCTACCTTTGTACTCACTGAGGCCACCGCATTTCGTAGGAACCTGGTACAGAATCTGGTTTGAAAGAAGTCTGGTTTGAGAACTACACCTGCCATTTACAAACTGTGTGCTCTTACACCAATTACTTAATCTCTGTGTAAAATGGTGACAGTACCAGTACCTGTTTGAGTTGTCCAGATTAAGTAAAACGGTGCATGCAAAGTGCTAATCATACAGTCAGTTGTAGCTATTATTGCCACTATTCACTGACCTGCCCTGTCCATTTCTAACCGTTTCACAGGTGCAGTGCTACCCCTGGCCCTGGGTTTGGCCATCACGGCTCTGCTGCTTCTCATGGTTGCTTGCCGACTACGCCTGGTGAAACAGAAACTTAAAAAAGCTCGTCCCATCACATCTGAGGAATCCGACTACCTCATAAATGGGATGTATCTGTAATAAGTCTCATTTAAATAGCTGGGGGTGAGGATGTTTTACTTATAATTTATACATATATTGGTTTGGATATTTATAACCTCTTTGATTTGAACTGGGCTAAGAAAAATCCTGAAACCCCAGAAAATTCTGCAAGCCCCTAAACCTTTGTTTTTATTTATTATAGAAAGATTTTATTTGGGGAGTATATGAAATGTTTTGAAATTTGGAGAGGAATCCATGTGAGTAAAGACTCTAATTCTGACTTATGTGAGCTGTCCTTGAAAATAGCAATTTGCAGTTAGCCAAGGCAGAAAATTCAGAATCTCAAGGAAAGGCCTTCGGATGGCAATGTTAACCCTTTACTTTTCAGAAGCCAGCCATTGGCCTCTGGCAACCCTGGGCCACTTTACACACAGCTTCCTTTTTCTGAGGCCTTCTTATTCCTCATATTAAGCTTCAAGTGCTTTTCTCCCCTTCAAAGCCTGTTTCTGAGAATGGATCTCAAGTGAATTTATACCTTCAGTGAAATGCTCCCTATGGCAGGAATATCTAACTGTAACCCCTGTGAACACGTCAAGGAGGCATCAGGGTGGGTGAGTGTGAGCTTATCCCAGTGCTTCTGACATCATGTCGTTTGGGTGGCTGCCCCCTTAGACCTGACTTTGGGAGAAAACACTCACTTTGGATTACAAATAGCTGTAACGTTGTCCTGGAGGGAGATAGGAAATGATGGTGGCAGCAGAAGTGGCAGGTCAAACATTTTAACACAAACTTAGCTGAGGGCAAAGTACTTTCTTCAATCTACTCAACACTGCTTGATGGTCCAGAACACAGCAGCTTTATTTATATAGTCACTGGTCTTCAGCATTAGTCTGTGTTGATGGAAGAGAAAGATGCATTCAAATTGAAAAGCAGAGCACTGAGTGGATTTCTAGGTGCAGCATTTGTAAAAATGTCACATGTTTAAGGATCACCAGCTTCTTTCATCCAATGGAATAGGCCAGTTTTCTCCATTATTTGTTTAATGCTATAAAATGTTATAATGTACAATCAGCTAATGCCAGGCTTATATATTCCCAGAGCATAAACCAGTCTTGCACAAATTCACCCTTACAGAAAACTGGCATCAAGCTTAGTATCTTTTCCCTTTTAATCAATTTGTAGGATTTTAAAGGCAAATTATTCCCAGCATCACTTAATGCCGGGATTAAACACATCCTAGTAATCATTCTCCCGAGAGCAATCTAGAGTGTGCCTGTCTACACTGACATATTACTAATATAGTATGGCTTTTTATCCAAAGTGGCAAATCTTTTAAAATACTTGAAAACACTGTAGAACACTTTATATTCAGACTGAATGTGAGTAAGTTGTTCCTTTTAGCAAAGGGCTTAATTTGGGTCAGAAATATAACAGAATACATGAATAAACAAAGTTAGTTCTAGAAAAACAAAGAAATTGGTTACTTTTATTTCCTGAGGGGTCCAAGCATTTTGTTGAATGATTAGAATTGAGCAAAGACTTAAAGTTCTCCTCAAGGGCAAATTAGAAAAATGACTGTGTGAATGAACTTAGGATATCTGTACTCTCTGTGTGACGCTGTGCAGTTTGCTTTTCTAGAGAAGGGTGTCACCTATAGCCATACCCAATAAAATAAAAACTGATGAGGCATGCATCTTTCGGCACATCTTTTTATACATGAAGAAATTAAACACGGTTTAGTATTGCTATGGTGTTGAGATACTTGAGAAAAGATGTCCATATCCAAGTGTACAAAATCCCTTTAATAAATTGTATTTTCTTCTTATGCCTTCTTAAATAACCGTTTCATCACCATAATAAGTTGCTGTTATTTACTGAGCTGATGCTATAGCACCTGGATCTAATCATATCAACCTTATTTTGCAAAGGGAAAAATTAAGAATTAAAGAAGGAGATGGGGGTGACTGGGTGACGGGCACTAAGGAGGGCACTTGATGGGATGAGCACTGGATGTTATACTATATGTTGGCAAGTTGAATTTATTTAAAAAAAAACAAAAAATTAGAGAATCAAGGTCCACAAAATAGTTATATTGTCATATGGACTGCATGAGACTGTCTAAGTCACTTTACCTGTGTCTGATTGGAGGAGTTCTGCATCTAAGATAATTTATAAATAATTTTAAAGGGAAGCTTGTCCACAATTTACTGCTCAAACGTGTTATGTCTCATGTGTCTTTTGCTGGGAAAAGGCCCACAGATGCCACCTTTCAGAAAACACATGGCTTCTTTGCTCTAATTCTCAGTACAAGTAGACAATAGCTAGTCTCCATCCCTCCCCAAGCATTTGGATGTTTCCTGTTGCTGGAGGGTCAGATTTGTTCTCTTCCATGGGAAAATGACAGAACGTCTTCATCTTTCTCCTCCTGCTTTTTCATAATCTGTGATTTGGCGATTTGGCTCCACCATTCACTTTCACGCTCACCAACCCTCCTCAGCCACTGATGGCTGTTTCATGTTCTTTACTATATTTTCCCACAACCCAAATGCAGAGATGCAATTTCTATCTGTTCTTTGGTTTGGGGGTTTAAGGCAGACCTTGCTGATGAATTCACTGGATGTCTCGAGCATAAACGTACTACAGCGTGGTGTCGTCTGGGGCACAGGCACCATCTGATCCTCCTGCGCTCTGCCTACGTTGCAGCAAGGAGACCAGGTATCGTAAGCATCTGAGCCTGAGATTGTCATTTGGGGTCTCTGTTATGTTGTCCCCAATTTCATGTTTGGGGATTGCACTACTTTGTTCCTATCAGAGTGACTCCCAATTACTTGTTTTCTTTTCTGGACTCCAGGTTTTCTGCAACTGTTGGTGTTAAAACTGAATGAAACTGAGTTGTTAAAACTGAGTTTTTCTAATGAAAAACTGCCCACGCCAAATAGAGAGGGAAAAGCTTAGCTTGCAGTTTGCTGTTCACAAATGTTCTTAACTCCTTGGCTTTTTAAGCAATTGTGTGGCTTTTTCTTGGAGACTGGCCCCATTTTTTCTCAGCTCTCTGGTCCTGTGCAATTCTAGAATCCTAAATAAAGTGCATACGCCGTGGCTACTTGAACAGCAAACACAGGGAGGGTTTTGATTAAATATAAAACCACCAAGGATGAAAATAAGGTTAGGCACATTGAAGCTGAGTGTGTCCAGAGATGAACTGCTTAGAACCGAGCCTCCATTTGTTTCACTTGGGTCTCTCTTGTGTCTTCTTTCCTACTCATTTTAATTCTTCCACCTCAGTTCTGAGTCTTGTATGTGACTTAGCACACTGTAAATTGGAAAGAGATCAACTTACAATATCATTCAACTTAAAGATCATTTCAAAACTTAGGAAACTTTTCAAAACACACTTTTTAAATTTTTTTAAGTTTTATTTAAGTAATCTTGACTGACCACCCAATATGGGGCTCGATCTCACAACCCCAAGACCAAAAGTCTTGTGCTCTCCTGACTGAGCCAGCCAGGTGCCCTCAAAACACATTTTAAGATGGTCTTAACTTTTACCAAAAAGCTTAGGAAAAATTATACTGAGTATATGAACTTAGAAAAAGAGTTTTTATTTTCATTCATCATGACTGAAGACCCAAAATTCCAAATAAAAAGCTACGTTCTCTTACACAGTTTCACAGATGAAAACGAAGACTTAGAAAAATCTCTAAATGTGTAATCTTTAGATGTGTGTATAGAACAAAGAAATCAGAACCTTAAGGGTGGGGGGGACGGGGTAACTGGGTGATGGGCACTAAGGAGGGCACATGATAGATGAGCACTGGGTGTTAATTCTGTATGTTGGCAAATTGAATCAATAAAATATTTAAAAGATAGTTAATTTAAATAAATCAGAACCCAATCTGAGATGGTGCCTTCAATGCTGTTTGCTGCTGAGGAGCAATAGTCTGACTCTCCTTAACAGCTCCACTTGTAACTAATTTCTGGCTGGCTTGATCAAACTCTGTTCCCTACAAGCTAATCACATAAAGGAGCCAAGATCCTAAAGAATGGCAGGTCTTTTTCTCCAGAAAATAGCCTTTTTTATAAATGATTTACAACTGACACAGTTAACATGGAAACTCTTCAGGCTCTTTTATCTATCATGTAATTTCTAAGCAAAGTCCTAACAGGATTATGACCAGAAAACCTAAATAAACAGCCCCAGAAAAAAAAAAATTACTTCACTCGATGTGATCCTTTGTGTGTGTGTGTGTGTGTGTGTGTGTGTGTGTGTGTGTGGCGGGGGGTGTTACAGTGACGTGTCTGGGGTGTGGGGATTCCAATATAAATGTCCTCAGCTGCCCCAGGCCCCTGGGTTGCTGCTCTCTCATATTTAAGATGTCTTCGGTGTTGTAATCACCGGCCCTTTGGACAAGAGAAGTATTCTTGTGATGCTCATCCGATTAGGACACTCCGAGACTAAGAATGAGTTCTTCAGCTCCAGCCTTCCTCGAATGTCTCTCAGGTCAGGCTTAAGGAAGGGACGGGACAGGAAGAGGGAGGAAGAGCAGAAGAGGGGATTCCCTGCCTCAAGATGCATCCATGGGAACTAAAAGTCAGGGGTTTTCTCTTCCACCAAGCAAGGGTGAGCTTCATGGAGCCCTGGCTCACACAACACAAAGGTCAAGTCCAAAGCTGGGAACTAAAACTAGCACCTACTATCACAGCCCTGGCAGAGGGATTAAAGATAAGGAAACTCTTGGACTTGTTTCATGTCTATTATATTACAGTACACAGACGTGAACCTTGTGGGCCACATGGGACAGCCAGTTTTCTTTTTGTTTTTTCCTGATTTTTTTAATAATTTTTTTAATTGGTGTTCAATTTGCCAACATATAGAAGAACACCCAGTGCTAATCCCGTCAAGTGCCCACCACCCAGTCACCCCCACCCCTCGCCCACCTCCCCTAATTCGTTTCCCAGAGTTAGGAGTCTCTCATGTTCTGTCTCCCTTTCTGATATTTCCCATTCATTTTTTCTCCTTTACCCTTTATTCCCTTTCACTATTTTTTATATTCCCCAAATGAATGAGATCATATAATGTTTGTCCTTCTCTGATTGACTTATTTCACTCAGCATAATACCCTCCAGTTCCATCCGCGTCGAAGCAAATGGTGGGTATTTGTCGTTTCTAACAGACAGCCAGTTTTCTTCACGCAGGATTTTCTTACTGGCAATCTATTTGAGCCACCTGTTTAAGTACAATGGGGACATAACACTGTCATCTTCCTGAAAAATGGTAGGAGAAATCAAGAGACATGAAACTGAAATCTGGGTTGAGCATCGGCCTTCGGCTCAGATCGTGATCCCGGTCCCAGGATCGAGTCCCACATGGGGCTCCCCGCGTGGAGCCTGCTTCTCCCTCTGCCTGTGTCTCCACCTCTCTCTGAGTAAATAAAATCTTAAAAAAAAAAAAAAATAGAAAGTGGAATCCTTGGGACACCTGGGTGGCTTAGTTGGTTAAGTGTCTGCCTTCAGCTCAGGTCCCTACATAGGACTCCCTGCTCAGCAGGAAGTCTGCTTCTCCCTAGGCTCCTCATCCCACTCGTGCTCTCTCTCTCAAATAAATAAAATCATAAAAAACATTTTTTAAAAACCCTAGAATTCTTCATTTTAATTCTTAACTGGAGCTAGATTTGGGCTTTAATAAAATCAAATTTGTAAAAACACCTTGTTTCAATAGGATCTCACAAGACTGGAACTTTAAAAAATACTTTCACTGTCCTCTTCATACTGTATAAAGGAATCACTTCTATTAAGAAAAAAATGGAATACTAAAACATTTTAGAGATTGTGAATACTAAAGATTAAGAGGTATTTCTTATCTCTGACCAGCATATATATAAAATCAGCTCTCTTAAAAAGAAAGCTCTTAGGGACGCCTGGGTAGCTTAGTGGTTGAGCATCTGTCTTCCACTCAAGGTGTGACCCCAGAGTCCCGGGATTGAGTCCCACATCGGGCTCCCTGCATGGAGCCTGCTTCTCCTTCTGCCTGTGTCTCTGCCTCTCTCTGTGTGTCTCTCATGAATAAATAAAATCTTAAAAAGAAAAAAGAAAGAAAGCCCTTACACCTAGTTAAAATCCATTATTGCTATCTCTGCCATTTATTGATATTCCCTTAAAATCCACTCGTATTTATTCAACATTTAAAAATTTGAATTCAAAAAAAAATTTGGGGATCCCTGGGTGGCGCAGCGGTTTGGCGCCTGCCTTTGGCCCAGGGCGTGATCTTGGAGACCCGGGATCGAATCCCACGTCAGGCTCCCGGTGCATGGAGCCTGCTTCTCCCTCTGCCTGTGTCTCTCCCCCCCCCCCTCTCTCTCACTGTGTGCCTATCATAAATAAATAAAAATTAAAAAAAAAATTTGAATTCACAGAAGTGTAAAATTAATCAGTCGCATGGCGTTTGTCTATACCAATCAAGTGGCACTTGTTCCTACTATATTTATAAACTGTCCCCTTGCTCAGATTGTAAACTCCTTGAGAGTAAGCACTTTTTTCTAGCCCCAAGGCCTAACATAGGGATTTACATATAATAAAATGTTGGCAATGGCTATGAAGAATACAGACCAGTGAGTAAGAATCAATTTAAGTTCTAAGGAATACTTGACCTTTGAAACTACCTCAAATGAGTCATGGCCCAAGTCCAGAAGCAGTACCAACAGCAGACTGAAGCCAGCAAGGAACTAAAACTCACAAGTCTTAGCCACCAACTGACACTAGTTTCTTATGTCTGAGATCTTGCCCAAGAAGAGACATCAGTGAAAAGTGTGCATAATTTTTTAAAAA